CATGGGTAGTTAGATGCAAGACAATACTTACTTTCCACGCACGCATGCAACCAGTTGAGCGAGGTTCACTTTTTTTCTGACATTCTGAGTAGTACACATATATAAACACTAGAGCTAGCTAGGGCTGAATAATAATAGCCACATAAATTATGAAATTTCGATGGGTACGCCGTTGTATGTAGGGCCTCGTTTAGATGCCATCTAAATTCCAAAGTTTTTTCACTCTCTCTCCATCACATCAATTTTTAGCCGCTTATATGGAGTATTAAATGTAGGTAAAAAAATAACTAATTACACAGTTTAGTTGGAAATCACGAGATGGATTTTTTGAGCCTAGTTGGTCCACGATTGGACAATACTTGTTAAATAAGACGAAAATGGTACTATTCATCGGGTTCAAAAAATTTGCAAAGTGAACCAGGCCTAGGTTTTGCTTGCCTTGAGGGCATATGCGATATATATGCATGCATCATGCATGGAGACATGGTCGATAGTTAATTGCGGACGCGGGCAAGCGCGGCACAAATAAACTGACGGGCAACTTGCAGCCGGCCGGCATGGATGGATATTTATACGTACTAATAATGAGGTTGCCAACAATAACTCTGAAGCTCTTGCATTGCCGTATGTATCTAGTTGGTAGTGTAGTTATTAGTCTCTTGATCAAGACATTAAAACCAATCATAAGGGTGACGGACTAATAACGGCCCCAGTCCAAATTGAAGAAGGAACTAGAGTAAGAAGCAAGTTAGTATTGAGTTAATTATTATATCTATATTAATTGCCACGAAAGCAGTACGAACAACGAGTTTAGAGAAGCCACGGTTGCGTGAACGTGCAGAGGTAGCTAGCTATGACCTCTGCTGGCCTAGCTAGGTCTAGAATCATTCACCAGTCACCGATCCGAGACCGATTTTCCGGCCCGGATACTCCGGTCGGTGGCGTGGACGGCGGACAGAGATCGACTAGAGGCAGCAGCAGGATGCCGCCAATGCACGGATAACGCGGCGGCCGTGCCCGTGCGCGACTACTACATTAGCTAATAGTGACGACGACATGACACGGCATCATGCCTGCGTGCGTACGTACATAATATCCATCAGTGGCACACGGCAAGGCCTGATTGGCTGATTCCTAGTCTACTAGTAGTACTCAAGATCGGAGCTTAGATTGCCAGGCAGGAAGGACAGATTTCTGACCATTGCACGGAGGGAGACTTTAGTAAAAGCAGTACTATCTTCTCGGCCAGTCTATCATATAACCGTTTTTCCAGAGCAAAAATGCATGGTTAATCAAGAGGATCGACCGACTACGTCGGAGCTTTCTTTGGAGGGGTGAAACACCGGACAAAGTTTATGGGGGACACTCGATAGTCAATTGGCTAACGACTTGTCGTCCGAAAATTAAAGGAGGGCTTGGAATCTTGGATTTGGAACGTTTTGCACGAGCGTTAAGACTGCGATGGCTATGGTATCAATGGAAGCAAAAGGGACTGGGCGTGGAACAGCCTCGAGCTTCCTTGTGACAGCTGGGACAAAGAAGTATTTGCGGCATCGACAGTGGTGAACATCGGCAATGTGAAGGTGGCCAAGTTCTGGACATCATCATGGGCTGACGGGAGGACGCCAAAAAACATTGCGCCGACTCTATACAAGAAAGCTAAAAGGAAAAACATTACTGTATACAAGGCACTGCAGGGAAACAAATGGGTTGCTCACGTCACTCCAATAGTCGGTAAAGGAATTGCATGAATATGTGATGCTCTGGGAAGCTGTCGAACAGATTCAGTTGGAAGAAAATACAGAGGATAGCATCGTTTGGCGATGGATAGAAGATGGAGAATACAGAACCAAGAGTGCCTATGCAATACAATTCCAGGGGACTTTTAGCAAATTGAAAATGATGCCGATATGGAAAGCTAAGGCAGAACAAAATGCAAATTTTTTGCTTGGACCTTGCTACATAAAAAAATACTAACTGCGAACAACTTGATGAAGCGACAATGGCCACATGACCCAATATGCAAGCTTTGTGGTACTGAACCAGAAACTCCAACGCACTTACGTAAAGATTGTGTTTTTTCAAAACAAGTGTGGGAGACCCTCAAGCTGTGGCTTGGTCTCTCTACAATTGACACTGTGCGGATGGAAGGTTCGCTCCACATCTATTGGCGTAGATGCCGATCAAAGATCAAAAGTAGACATAGGAAAGATTTTGATGGCGTCTTCATCTATTAGTGGTGGAACATATGAAAAGAGCGAAATCATAGAACTTTTCAGAACACCTAGCTGCAACCGAGACAAGTGGCATTTCTATGCAAGGAGGAGATCGAGCAGTATCAGTTGGCAACAAGATCTAATGCGCAAACGGCTCAATGGTAGTAGTAGTGTTTTGCATTTTCCTGTGCTGTATATGGGAGTGTTTAGTTTGTCTTTCTGGTTTTCTGTTTGTCGCCTTTCAAAAAAATATCTCATTAGCGATCCACGGCCGCCCGGCAATGCCGGCCGGAAGCTGCATTGTCTCGTCTGACATACGGGTGTGCTGTCTGTCCCCATGCGTTATTGTTAGGTCCACTCAACCAGCAGCCAGGTCCTAATTAAATTAAATTAACACAATGTTATTCATCTACTCTCTACCTCCCTCCTAAATTAAATCAATGACTTTTAGAGTCTAGTTAAGTCAAACTATATTTTAAATTAAATCGACTTTAAGAGTTGTCTTAAGTCAAACCATTTTAAGTTTGACCAAATTTATAATAAAAAAGGCATCAATATTTATGGCACTAGATTAGTATCACTAGTAACATCATGAAATATGTATATATTTTTTCATAATGTACTTATTTCATGTCATTGATGTTGGTACATATATTTTTCTATAAAATTTGCCAAACCTAATAAGATAGTTTGACTTTCGGTGATTATAAGAATTAATTTATTTTAGGCCGAAAGGAGTACACTATACACTAGCCAAAGTGCTCTCTCCCTCTCCCTACCTCTCTCTCTCTCTCTCCATATGTAGGTCGGAAAGAGTTACTGGTATGAGTTTCAAAGTTCTTTCTGCCATTAATGATTCTAGCAATGCCCAATCTTGTGTTGCCAATCAATCTATACATAGGGCCTGTTCACTTGGAGGAATTCTGGAGGAATTTGGATGGTTTGGAGGAATGCTGGAGGAATTTGTGAGAGAAAAATACTATTTTGGATAAAAAAAGAAGCGGATCAAGCCGGGTTTAAGGGCACGTGAACGGGGCCATAGTCTCACATATTGATTGATGCCCACATGGCTGGGGCATATGCGCTTAAGGGCAAAAACAACAAAATTCGTTATGTTTTCTCCTTATCCACGGTTCTTCACCGAGAGTTGTTCAATCGTTGGCAGTTTCTTATAGGTACACAATGTCTATCAATATAACTTGTTATGGTTACAAAAACTGATAGACACGAGGATGGCCAATATTTTTGTTTCCCCTTTTGAGGCCACAAGTTAGAACATTTTGGACACTCGCGTATTGCATCTACTCAACAAACATCCCTAGTTTGTACGAATGTGTAAACATACATTGGTTTTGTTTCTCGAATGAGAGGTAAGGAAAGGAAAATTCCTTGAACATTACTCACTCATCTTATCCATGCATCTGCGTGTTGTGCGTGTCTTTTTTTCCCTAGTTGCCCATCCGCGTGTTATACGTGTCATTTTGTTGGCCTATTTGTGCACGGGACGAAATCACCATCTACGCGAGATTACATGTCAAATGCTCAAGAGATATGGACACAATAATGTTACCCAAGCAATATGATGATATCTCCACATTGTGCCCTAATAGAATGTTGTGTGCTTCCGTGTCCCTTCTGCCGTGTTGCTCTATCCTTTTCCCTTGAGTCTGTACCAGAAAGAAGCCAGCTCTCTGTTCGTGGCTTGTGGGTTTTGTTTCTTTGCCTTGCAAGAGCTTCTCTTCGTTCCTCTCTCCACATTCCTGGATCGCATATCCTATATAAGGGGCAGGCCACAATTTCATTTGAAAAAAATTCATGTTCCATATACAAAGCCAGAGGGAGTCTTATAGGTGCTTTGACAATCAAACTTGCTGTGAGTTATGTTAGATTGAGAGACCAAACTGATCATACAAGACAGTGATAGCACAAATTTTGTTTTGTTTGAGCCAGCTAGTACGTCAAAATGAGACCGTCACCATCATCTTCATCGTCATCATCCAGATCCATTTTTGGGATTGAAACTCGTAAGTCAATTTCTATGTGAGCATACATGCCTTGCAGTCATCTTAGTAGCTTGCGAACTTAATGTTCATTTAGCAAATATTGATTGTTCTCTTAGCAATGCTGCTATTTCATTTATCAAATTAATAAAACTACTGCAAATGCAGCTAAATGCTAGCGCCTAGCAGTCTCTATCCTCTGAAGGAACGTCGATCTGTCTTAATGCACTGATAAGTTCGATCTATTATGATAATGTTTTCATCACACACAATTGCAAGATAAACACGCAGTGTATTCAATGGACTCTGTTTTTGTACATGTTTAATTTGGACTAGTTGAGTGTGAGCATTTGATGCATGCATGCATAGTCCACGCTCCACACATGGTCAAGCTAGCTAGATAGTCTTTCATGCAAGGGTACAAAACTAATGAACTGTTGAGGCTGAAGCATGTTTTTCTTTTCCTTCTTTGAAATGTGAAGCATGTTTATTTCCTTGATTGCCGTCTGCAAATTAAAGTTGCTGTCGATATAATAATGCTGCACATTTCTCTTTCTAGCTAGCTAGCTAAGCTAAGATTGTTATACTCCTACTTGCATGTAAAGCAACGACAATATTTACTCAGAAAAACCATTTCTTGACGCTTTCTCCTGCCGTCCATATATACGTACCACGCACACGTTGCTTTGCTTTGCTTTGTTCTGTTGCTTGTTGCACTCGCTCTCATGTGATGTCTCATCTCCAACTCCGACTCTGATCCATCGTTGCAGCTGATGACACCACCATGGAGAGGAGCAGCTCCACCCCTTCCAGCAGAACTCCGGAGAGCTCGAGTCTGCCGCCGCGCAGCCCGCTCGGCGTCGACGAGGAGTACGACAGAGCCTTCAAGTCCAAGTCTTTTCTCGACCTGTGGTCGCACGCGCATCGCCACCTCATGCACACCTTCTCCTCCGCCTCCTTCAAGCTCTCATCTTCGTCCAAGTCCGGCGGCGTCAAGGACGACAACGAGCCCGACGCGGCGTCGGCCGCCGCCGCCTTGGAGCAGTCGTGCTCGTACACCGTCCTCGACGACTTCGTGCTGGAGCCGAGCCCGGAGGTGCTCGGGCGGGAGCGGCGGCGGCGGAGGCGACGCGTCGAGAGGCTGCTGATCGAGTACTTCGACGTGACGCAGGAGGCCTGCGAGGCGTGCTCCTCGCTCCTCGCCGCCATCGGCGCGGCGCGGCGCCACCAGCTCACGCTCCGCCGCCTGCTCCACCGGCTGGAGGAGGACAACGACGGCGGCGGCAGCGACGACCCCGCCACCGCGAGGGACGCGGTCGCGGCGCACGTCCGCCTCGACAACCCGCTGTCGCCGGGCCGGCTCGCGGGATTCCACGAGGTGCACGGGCGGTGCGGCCCGCTCGCGGCGCGCCTGGCGTCGGCGCAGAGCCGGCTGCGGCGCCTGGCCCGGGCGATGCGCGTGGCGCGGGGCACGGCCGCGGCAGCGCTCGTGGCCGCGTGCGCGGCTGCCGTCGTGGCCGCGGTGGTGTTCGCCGCGCACGCCGTGGTGGGCGTCGGGGCCGTCTCCGCGGCCGTGGGCGCAGGCCCGGCCACCGCCGTGCGGTGGGCCGCCGAGCGGGTGAGTCCGCGGCAGTACGCGCTCGCGGGCGCCGCGGTGGACGCGGCGGCGCGCGGCGCCTACATCGTGGGGCGGGACCTGGACACGGTGAGCCGCATGGTGCGGCGCGCGCACGACGAGCTGGAGCACGGCCGCGACGTGGCGCGCATCGCGGTGCGGGGCCGCGGCGAGCGACCGCTGATGCAGGAGGTGGCGAGGGAGGAGGCGGAGTGCGAGGAGGACCTCAGGGCGCAGCTGCAGGAGCTGGAGGAGCACGTCTGCCTCTGCCTCATCACCATCAACCGGAGCAGGAGGATGGTGGCGCACGAGATGACGCAAGGCTTGCCGTCGCTGGAGGCGACGCCACTGCCGTCCCAAAACTAGCTTCGCGCGCGTTGAGGGTGAAAAAGAGAAGAATACTATTTATTTTTTCATTCAATCATCAGTTAGCTAGTTCATCATTGTCCATATGATTCTACAGTAGAATTGTTGAAACGAGAGGAATAATTGAGAGCAGTTCTTTTGCATGTACAGTACGTAGTATTAGTATACGTTTTTTTTCCGTGAGAAGGTGTGTGTATGACTGAGGTACTGATGTACAAGCAACTCCTTCGAACTTGTAGAGAGAGATTATTTTCCATTTGATTATGTTAGTTTTATTTTATCTTTTTATGTATTGCAGTTAGATGCTAAAGGATGCTAGATCGGCTGGGCGAATTTGCAGCGCCAGAGGTGAAAAAAAAAATCTCGCCTGCCCCGCATTCTCAAAGCACAGGTTTGTAGGCACTGGCCTACTCACAGGGTCACGGGCCCCTGTGTGCGGGTGAGGTACGAGGTTCGGGTTTTTTTTTTTGACCTGTGTGAGAGGTCTCTACCTTAAGCCAAAAATTCCAGCGGCTGTCTAGCCACCGTGGGTCGAGTTTTTTTTATTGCAGTTAGATATGAGCAATAAATTGGTAGTTAGGGATCGAGTTAGATCGTTTTTTTGTGTCCCCGAGCTAGGGGTGAAAATGGATCAAAGCTGATAACGTCTCTCAAATCTTCTTTCCCTTATTGGATTAGGAGTGAAGGATATATTTCACAGATGGGTGCAAAACTGTGAATACGGATTATTGGATGTTAGAAAAGGCAGGAAGATGAAACCGAACTAGGATAGAGTGATTTTAGTAATAATATTATACACACATATAGTGAGCAACATAGAGAACATACTACTTGTCAATAATTGACAAATCATGCTTAACAATTGTACACTAGCCAAAAGTAACAGGTATATTTTGTTACAAAAAGATACACTAATTAAGCATTTTTTGTTCACTTTATGATTTTAGTCCAAGGATGTGTTTGTGTTGTGTGTTGGGGAGAGGAATATCGTATAATCTATTTTAAATACCGAACAATCCATATATAAGTTACAAGTAACTCACATCCATAAGATAGATGTTGCGAATCACATACTCTTCCAGACATCCACCTATTTGTTAGATACGGATTATCCATATCATGGATTCATAAAACTAGTTTATGTCCTTAAAAGTCAGTTTCAGAAATTATCCATAGTACTTTTACCTCTTGCTTGGGGCCATAAGGGTTGTCCAAATGTAGAATTTAGGATTGTTTAATTTCTATAGTCAAAGGTGTCAACTAAGTAAAATGGTGATGTGGTATTGAAATTAAAGAAGAGAGAAAATAAGATAATTTCTTATTATACTATTGTTTACGCAGGCCAAGATATAATAAGTAAATGGTAGAACAGAGAAGACACGTGAATGGAAAAAAATATTTTGAAGAAATCAACCATTGCGTCTATTATTTTTATGTATAGTGTATATAATAAACTATCTTATAATTACTATGTTGAGAGTGCTTTAGACAGCACCGTTATAAACTGATGCATTAAGCCAAAATTGTGCTTGCTTCCACATTCATTCATTGGTCCGAGGCTGTTGACATGTTATTACCACCGGTTCTAGTAATTTAGCTTTCTATTTTTTTCCCTGACGGTCTCGCATGGCAAAGCACAAGATTAGAAATCTGTGACCTTGCAGTTACATGGTTTTCTTTTTCCAGCTCCTTGATCTCCAAACACTGCTAAGTTGGTTGGCAGATCTAACTGCACACAGGGGATGCTATTGCTGGCATGCTGCACAGTTGCAAAAAAAGAGGAAGCCAAAATCAACAGGGAGCACAAAGAGGCCCTAAAATTGGGATCTAACTGAATAAGGGAAAATTTCAAGTTGGAGATGCAAAAAAAAGGGGTATCGAGCACCCAGTTGGAACAACTGAATAAAAAAATTCAAGTTGGAGATGCGGGGTATCGATCCCCGTGTACCTCTCGCATGCTAAGCGAGCGCTCTACCATCTGAGCTACATACCCTTTGTGTTTTTTTAACAATGTGGAGAGACTTCTCGAATCATTATCGTTTGTTGCTATGGATAACTAACAATTTATTCTAAAACATATGGATCGCACGATAAGATTATAATATTATTAAATTAAATACCAGCGTTAAAGTAACATTTAATTCAAAAGGCAAAGTTTATGAATTTAACATAGTCACGAAATGCGCGGCGTCGTAGGCTCACAAACTCTAGAGCTTCCGGAGATTGAGTCGAATCTAACCTAGAGCCTCGAAACCCTGCATCTTTTTCTGGACGGGCTTTACTTCGGATGCGCCGGTAGTAATATCAACGATCTCCAGTCGATGGACCAAGTCGTATGGATCCCCATACAATGACTCAGACATGTAGATTTTGTTCTCCTTGTACTTGGATACACTTGTTCCACTGAAGCTTTCATTGAAATGTTTAGACACGAATAGTGTCTGATCACCGATGTCCCTCACCCGGGACCACTCCGGCGTACGGTCGTGGAGGTTGCACTTGTAGATCGCGCTGCTGTAGGTGAAGCTCTGTGTCTCGTGGAACGGGCTCACCATGGCACCCACAATGTGCAACTCACCGTTTGATTCCTGGTAGCTGCGGTAGCAGAGCCCCGCAGGTGGCGACAGCGATGGCAGCAGCGTCGCGGTTGGAGTAGCACCGTCGGTGTTGCTGCTGTAGACGGTGATTTCTCCAGTGCAGTCGATCGCTAAGAACTTGTCTTGACAGTGGACGAAGGACCCCACGGAGAACTCTAGTTTGGTGTCAAGCAGCGTCCATGCACCGTCGACTCCAACCCGACAGAACGCAACCTCCGTGGAGCACCCAAGCATGGACATGGCCACGCACTCGCGGCCGGCGGCGTCAGACGACGCCGAGAGCACGATCTCACGGAAGAACACGTCCCTCATGTCTTCTAGCTTGATGGCTCTGCCTGCGGCATCCGCGTTTCCGTAGCTGTTGGTGGGATGGAGGACCCACCGGCCGTGGACCCTAGACACGCGTTCCGATGAGGATGCTGCCGCGACGTGTTCGCCTGCTGGTGGGAGCTCAACGCGGGGGCATGGGCATCGGTGAATGGATTCAGCAGCATCACGGACACCGCCTCGTCCATGAGCGCCAGCCACCCACACGAGGAGCCGCATGCCACCTTGCCGCGCACGTCGAACAGCGTCTTGGACAAGACCTTCTCCGGGACGCAGTAGAAGCCGACGCGGTCTGAGTCGGGGTCGAACGGGAGCAGCAGGAGCGGCCCAAAGGTCACGAACGGGACGGCGGCATGCCATGGGGAGCAAGCGGATCGGAAGGACGCTGCGTCGTGGCCTGACACGAGACGCTGCCCGATGGACTCGAGGAGATCCTTTGGCAGGCCGGATCTCCAGTCAGGGAAGAGGTAGGGACCTTCTCTTGGGATTGGGAGGCTGAGCCATGGAAGACAGATGACAACAACTATGGTTCACGCAAGAAACAACAAGCGAGGCGATGGAACACGTGAGCGTGAAACCAAATAAAAGGAGGAAAAAGTTGTTTCTTTTGCAAATGCAAAGAAGGGAAGTAATTAAATATAGACAGATTTGGCAAGGTTTTCAGAAATACAAAGAGGTTCCTTTTGTCTTAATTCTTTTTCCTTCTGTGTTAATTCTCTTTCCTTTTGCTCGTTGCCATGTATGCTGATGCATGCAAACATGCAATGTGTATATGGATAGCACAATAATTTTTTATTTCCTATTTTGCCGTGATTCCTCTATCACATGACAGGCAATATTCAATCAAGGAGAATGACATGATCAATCAGTAATTAAGATGTTGTGGGATCGCAGGCGTGGGTAGACGGACGAATCAAAACAAATATCGCACAAAAAAATATCCACACTTTATTTTTTTAGTTGTAGAAGATAATCCAAGATGTTTTTTTTTTCTTACTTTTCTACTCAAAGTGAGCGGGACATCTGTTTGCTAACGTTCAACTTCCACGAAAATTTGTTTCTTAACCCCTGAATATACGTCCTACAACTATCAAAATGGAACGAATCACCACCCCAAAACTAGGTGTACGTATTTGACACCCTATGAGCTACAAGCAACTCCATTGAACTTGTAGAAAGATATAATTTTCCTTTTGCTTTTTGTTTGTTTTATTTATGTTAAATATGTGAACAAGTACTTTATTGCAATTAAGATATGAGCTATAATTGGTAGTTAGAGATCGAGTTAGATAGAGTTTTGTATCTGTGGGGCTAGGTGTGAAAATGGACCATAATGTCTCTCCTATATCTTAATGCTCTTTCCTCTATCGAACTAGGAGCGAAGGAGCAAATATACGCGTGTAGGGATTTTTAGATGTTAGAAATGGAAGGGATATGAAACGAAACTGTTATAATGATTGATTTTAATAATTGAAGAAGCTTCATGAAAAATCTCAGGAAGTTGCTCTGGAGGAGTTTCTATGCTTTTAGTACAAAATACAACCTTTATAGTTTTTATCTCCTTGAAGGAGCTGCTGGCTTTTTGAGCTTTCCGGAGAAGCAAAAGCTAGCGGAAGCTCACAAAAAGAGCCAATATCTACATACGTAGACAATATACTTGTTAATAATTGACAAAGCGTGGTCAACAATTGTATGCTAGCCCCAAAAGGAAACATGCATATTTGTGAATTATACAAGTACAGACGCAGACGCTCAAACGCAAGCACGGTCACCTCTATAAATACACGTACGCAAACTGTAACACCCCGGTGTTACTTCATAATTAATTATCTTAAGCCTTGCCAACTTGCATTTGGCATGTCAGAACTTCTGACCCTTGTCAGAACTTCTGATTTCCTACCGGAAGTTTTGACTTCAGGGCCAGGCCAGAACTTCTGACACCCTGTTAGAAGTTCTGACTGTGGGCTTTCTTTGGTTTATCTCTTAATCCGTCGTACTAATGACCTTAGACCTTTAAGAAAGTTGTAGGGCACAGTGTTGCGAAGATCTTTTGTATAGGAGTGGGACCCCACTCTT